TTGTGTTTAGTCTATTCTAAATACTCTTGATGTGATGAGTTAGGAGAATTGTTTAAAAAGGTCGTGTCTATAAAAAAAGTGTAGTTTGATTGCTCGAGGACGAGCAACAGTTTAAGTATGGGGTGTTGATAAATGATGAAAAGTGCATATTTTTTAGTATATTTGCATATTAATTCTTGTGTGTGTCGCGGGAGATTACATGATTTTCGAAGTGAAATATACTCATTATGTGTTTCTTATGTGTAGGAACGAGTTTGGATGATAAATGACCAAAAGAAGACAATTCGACACAAAAAGAAGAAATTAAAGGAGTGGGAGCTCGTCTATTCTCGTGCATGGCACGAAGTCGGACGCGAAAAAGGAGAAAAGTTAAGGCACAAAACAGCGAAGCGAAGCAAAGGCACGGAGCGCTTCGCGAAATGGAAGAATTTCAAAAGCTGGATCCGCATCAAAGTCCGCGTCTAGACGCGAAGGCAAACGCGGATCCGCGTCAAAGTCCGCGTCTAGACGCGGAGGCAGACGCGGATTCCAGCTCTCCCATCCGAAGTTGGATTGAAGAATTCTGCCCCTCATCAACCCTAGGACATATAAATACATCCTAAAACACCACTTTGAGAGAGACACTACTTTAGGGTTAGACAACACCCTTGGAGGCAAGAACACGCTAGAAGCAAGGAGGAAGATTCAACTACGAGTTTTTCCCCTTCTTCTTCCTATTTTATTGTTGGTTATGAATTGGAGTATTGTGTTTTCACATACTTTTATGAATAGCTAATTTATTATCTAGAGTTTTGATGGAACCTTTTGGGGATGAATTGGTTGTTATATTAATATAGTTTTGAGTTAGTTGTTAATCTCTATTTGTTCAACTACGTTTTGATTTTGGTTAATTGAAAGGATCCTCAATTAGCCGTTCCTATTTATTATAGAGAGAGTGCATATTTAGGTAGTTGTTTGAACAACATCACCCCCGGAGTATAGGCGAGAGTCATAACCGAGGGTTTAGAGGTTGGATTAGAGATAACGATACCTCGGGTGCGATTTAAGTGAACTGTAATGTGAATCTAGCTAGCGTAGCTTGAGAGAGTGCGTCTAGTAAATTATCATAATTGCTTGAGAGAAATTTATGATAGATGGAGAGTTCATGATTGATAGAGGTAACTAAGTCAAAGCTATAAGAAACATACAATTAATGAAATCAATAATTGGGGAAATCATAACTCTAGACCTCCTTAATTTAGTCTCCAAACCTTTGTCTCGTTAGTTGATAATTTTACCGTTTTATAGTATTTGTTGGTTAATTAGTTAGATATAAAAATCCTAATATTATAATTTAAAAATTGTTCAAACTTGTTTTCTTTGCGATATTGAACAATTACAGCGAAACCTTAGTTCTCTGTGGGATTCGACTCCGGACTTTTAGACCGGATTATATTTGCAGCGACCGCTTATCCTTTTTAGGACTAGAGTTGGGTGTGATCATTGCCCACCAAGTTGCATTCGGAAAGCATGGCACATAAGTTATCAACATCATCATGCTTTTCAACCATGTTTGCTTGACCCTTCTTCTTATCTTTCTTCGGAGCACGACACTCCGTAGATTTGTGTCCGGCTTTTCCACAGTTGTAGCAATTTCCACTGAACCGCTTCTTGCTTGGGTTGTATTTCGGTCCAGAAGCCTTCTTCCTCTTTTTGTTCTCTTCAACAATATTTGCTCCCATTATTGTTGAGTTTCCACGGCCTCTCTTTTCAGAAGCTTTATTGTCCTATTCGATTCTTAACCGAACAATGAGATCTTCAAGGGACATCTCCTTGCGTTTGTGTTTCAAGTAGTTTTTGAAGTCCTTCCACAAAGGAGGCAACTTCTCAAGCATCGCTGGTACTTGGAATGCTTCATTGATGACAAGACCTTCAATGAAATTTCTATTAGTAAAAATACTAAGATTACTACTTTCGACATCAGCATTAAATTGATTTATACCTTCAGCAAGGAGATCGTGAATAGTCACTTGCAATTTCTGGACTTGGGTAATAACAGACTTGCTATCTACCATTTTATAGTCCAAAAACTTTGCAGCAACGAACTTCTTCAACCTGGCATCTTCGGTTTTGTATTTTTTTTCAAGCACAGTCCATAGTTCTTTTGACGTTTCCACGCCACTGTAGACGTTATACAAAGCATCCTCCAGCCGGCTTAGAATATAATTCTTGCACAAAAAATCTAAATGCTTCCACGCCTCAATCACGAGAAAGCGTTCAGTTTCTGGAGTTTCATCGGACAGCACAGGAACATCTTCCTTGATGAACTTAGAGTAGTCAAGTAGAATAACATCTTTTGCTGCCAGCGCTTGAAATTAATCCCGAAAAATTTCCGGGTCTCCGCCGCTGCCAATGCTGCCAGTGTTGTTCGGCTCGTTGAGGCATTGGCAGTCACCATTGGAACAGCTTGGTTCACATTTTCATTAGTCATTTCTGTAAAAGAATGACACAAACGTTAAAATCACGTAGATTTTAATCTTCAATAGAGTACAAAACCACAAAGGTTTTACTCTCCAGAAACAGTGAGTACAAATACAGAAAATATATTAAATTCCTTAAGCTCGTTAGTAAATTGTATTTGTAAACTAATTCTGGAAAAACAAAATAGAATAATATATAAACAGAAAACGTAAAGAGATAGAAATCAATTCGAGCCCACTGAATTCACAGTGTTTCCTTAAGGAATTTAATCCCCTCCTAGTACCCAAGATTATGGATCATTTCCTCCCAGGATAGAACGAATTACACACTGCTGTAGTGGTACTTCAAACCCCAGTGTTTCAGTGAACACAAAGTTCGGTAGCAAATCACACTTACTGTTGCTTTGTTTGATGTTAAAAGTATGCAGAAGAAGGAGGAGAAACTCAGAAAATCGTATGGAAATTCTGAGCAGAATAGTCTTGTATTTATAGCCAAAGTTGGGCTGAAATCTGAAGAGGTGCAACTCTTCAGAATGGTTGTTTATGCAAAACGGCCACAACATAAATGCCATAACATAAATGGTTATTTACTCAACAATAAAGAGGAAAAATTGAAGAGGGTAGTTAATTTTCTGTTACCAAAACAAAAAAACAGATTGGATTTAAGATTAATATTTATTTTAATATTAATATTCTATTATTAAAACAAAAATTTAATAACATTTCTGTTAATATTTTACTATTAACAAATAAATTTGGTCCAAAAAATTAATCAATCAATCGATCATTTGATCGAAGCCGAAGCCGAGCGAACGACGACGGCGCGAGGCTTGCCTTCTTCTCAACTCTTTAAGAGCTAGAAGAAGAGCAATTGCTTATATATCTATAAAAAAACTTCTTCCTCTTTCAATATGAGACAATGTCCCTTTGCCAAGGGGGAACTTAAAATTTCACTCAAAAATTTCATTTCCCTCCATTTCTCATTCACACTCTTTTAAATATTTAATATACTTAAATACATAAACCCCAACAAAGAGAACTCGTGTATGTACATTGACGAGACAATGAAATTTAAAACATGTTTGGCTCTCTTTTTTCATTTCTTTGCTAACTTTTTCAACGAGAGATTTACATATACCTTCATAAAAGGGTCGTAATTTGGTCTATTAATTATTATTTTTGCCTTTTATTTTATTTTCTCCCTTTAATGATGACGAGAAAAAATCCACTATTCAAACTACCAAAAAATATACTCCTTTATTTTGTTCACACAAAGTTTTTATCATTTTACCACTTCATGTCATTGAACTTTAAGGGCATGAGAGGCTGAATTTCGGGTAGGAGTATCAAACATAGAATAAGTATATGTAATTTGTCAAATCTGTCCAAAATTCGATAAATTGGGTGAGTTGAAATGATTAAAATGGATCATATCGAGTTAGTCTAGGGATGTCAATTAAACATGTCAAAAAAGTTAAATCAATACATAATTTAACTCATTGTACGTTTTTTATTTGACTATTTGGTATTCGATACTTGCCTAGATGATCTCCTGTCCATAAAAAAAATCTCACTTTTTTTGGAAATTTTTTACTTTTTTCGATATCAATGTTTGGCCATGAGATTTTCAATTTTCACATGAAGATGAATTTTGGAATATTACGAAAATTTGAAAAACTCCAAAAAGTTATTTTTCAAAATTTTCACTTCAGATCACTCGCAAAAATTCAAAAACATCGCAAAATTATATTCATGTCCAAAGACAACTTTAATTTTTTAATATCACTTTCACTTGGAAAATCTTTTTTTTTATATATTCCTTTCTTGCCAATCGTGTCTTGTCGGACTCGGTACATAATCAATTTGATTAATTGCACGTACTCTACGGATATAAACATTCGGTCCATTTCAACTACCTGCTGCTACGGTCTGTTTCTAATTTTTAATCGACGTTAGGTACATCTCTCCATTTTCCAAAATTTATTTTCAATGTTTGACTTTCGTACCCATTTAGCTCTTGGAATTCCCACTTCAATACTTTGGAAAAACACAAAAAACTATAAGATGCTCAAGTCATAACTATTTTGTTAGTCAATCAACTTGAGTTTTTTGATAATTAGTACTAAACCACGAGAATCGCGTTTAAAATAAACCTAATCCCATTTCAATGAAGTTTGTTTATTTATTCATTTGTGTTTTTTATACTGTGATGTTCAGATCAATTTGAATTGAGTCAATTACATCTCCATCACAAGTTAATTAATGAGAATCAACTACACAAATTAACTATGTCTATTCTAATCACTTAAAGTATTCATAAGCGGAGTTTTCTTCTAATTTCTATTATATTGGGGATCAAGGAGAAGAAAGAGAGAATAAAAACTAAACTAAAATCTCTTTGTCGATACCAACCGATTATATTTAATACAACAACAGAACAGCGTACAAGTGGGATACGGAGAAGGTAGAATGAATGCAATCCTACCCAGAGGACAGAGGGGCTATTTCCGATATTTAATCAATACTTAAAAGGAGAATAGATGGACAACGAATGAGGGACCCTCGCATGCATTTGCAAGTGTCGAAATTTCATCACCCAAATAATGCAAACATGTGGTCCCACTCTATCACCATTGCAATCCATTTACAAAGGAATCAAGAAAAATACATCACTGTCTCTCACACTTTGAGCTAAAAATGCGTGCATGCTACGTAAAAACACAAGCATAAAGACAACACTGCGACCAAACATAGTTAATATTCTCCAATCCATACAAACATCACACATGATACTAGTATTACACAACCACATATATAGTACTAAGAATTTCACACACCAAGATTCCCATATAGCTCAAACTTAGTCATGTGTCAAATAGTAGCAGCAGTTTGTTACACAAAGGGTCGAGATTCATTTCACCTCAGGAGAACATAATTATACCTGATGTAACCAAAAGAGAGATGCATCGCGAAGCGAATGACCGCCTTTAGATAAGGAAGGGAAACGCCCAAGAGGGATTAATGTGATAGCATTAAGGAAAAAAGAGCAATGAAAGTGAGGATTTGGGACCCAAATTCGCCACCAAGCGTGCACTGGAACTTTTCCAGGGTCCTACTGAGGTAAACAAGTTGTCGTATCGTTCACACAGACACGAACAATTATGTGGGCAAAAACACATTCCCAAAGGGCAGAATCAACTTCTCTTTAGGGTCAAGATATGAACTCATGATTTACCACCCTTTATGGAAGCATGACAAGAAGTTCCCTCCCTTATCTTTAAAGAAGACATGAATAAGACACGACCGGTGATTTTCAAAACCACAGCCAATGGTTCCAACAGAATGATGGAATAAAGACTCTTAAGGGAATTCTCCAACCTGGTTTACTTTGTTTATGCCATATTCCGCCAACCCAACTTTGCCATACCATCTAAGCTTTAATTCTGCTTTATTCATCTGAAACATTTAATACGTACTTCACACCGCTACCTCACAAGGAACCTATAAGAAATACCATTAATAACTCGTAAAATTATGACCAGGGGCAAGCTGAAGCTCAAAGAGAATCAAGTCCTAGAGACTTGGCTTTCACCTTCAGGGATCTCAAGTAACGGATTGCTTCATCTATAACAACCATCGAGTCTTTTCCCTTCCCTCCAGGGATTATTTCCTGCAAAATACTTATAGTCTCACGAATTTTATCTTTTCTCAGCCTCTTTCTCCCAGATGGAGAACACGGTGCTCCTGAAACTTGGTCAAAGCCATTGCCGCAACTGGATTGTGCATCATCCTCTAAGTCGGAGCACGCATAGGCTTTTGCAGAGGTTGCAGTATCCCTAAGCGACGGTGCATCATAGCTACCATCTAACAGTTTATGCCTTTTGGTTGGCTTCGCAGAACTAGCTAATTCTTCACCCCTTTTGTCAACCCACTCTGGTAAATCATGAGTTGTCATAGTACTAGGCGAGTGACCAGTGCTTCTTTCTTCATCATCCTCGGAATAATAATAATCATCATCTGAATAGAGTAGGGCGTCCAGTTCTTCAGTATCCTCACGCATTTCACTTTCGACGTCATCTCTGTTACTTTCTTCATAATATTCATCACCAAAAAAATGCCCAAATGGAGAAGCTTCATTCTTTTTAATCTCTGGATCCTCCTTAACCAAATTAGAAAGGGCAGGTGGTGTTGGATTCAAAGAAGCCGGGCATTGTACAGGAGTAGCATTAGCAGAACTATAGATCAAAGTTGTTTGATCACCAGATTGATCAAAAACAAGGAATCTCTTCTGAGCAGATGAGGCGCCTGCATTAGGATTTTCGAGTGCTTGAGGAGCAAGCTTCTCTTCGAGTAAAGCGGTCGAAACAGGAGCAAAACCCTGATAGAACTGAGGCGAACAATATAACCAATTGTGAGGTTCAGTTGGCTGGCTTGCCTTTGACTGTAGAAGCCCAGAAAATGTGAAAAGGGGAGAATTCCCATTCATAGGAACCTCATTTGACTGAGGAGTCATGTAAATAGGAAAAGAATTCTGCTGCCCTATATCAAATCGAGGATAAGAAAAATTCAAATGGGCTAACTGCAGATCTGAATACTGGTGATGGAACAAAGATCCAAAGTCCTTTTCCATTCAACCTCAACAATCACCTGAAAATCAGACAAGAATCCAACAAACTAATCAGATGAATTATCACCAACATTAATCTAGAGAAACTGCAATAGGTTAGAGGTTGCAAATCATACCAGTTCTAAACAACTGTGAAACTACGAATTGCTGTTTATTTCTTGCACTCTTGATAAACAACGAAAAAAACTAAAAACTCCAGCTTAACTTGAACGCGGTAAAAAGAAAGGTCAATCTACGTGACGGGTTTAAGCAAATGACGGAAGTATTCAGCCTGAAATACCCAAAAGGAAAAGGAAATTAGATGTCTTCCAACAAGCAAAGGAAGAACAAGGCGTCTCATCATGTAAAAGTTATTCGATTAAGCAAGGATTCCAGAAGACAAAAAGATAAAGAGAATCTTATTATTCAAGAATACCAAAAATGTCCATCACTGACCTGGCAATCTTGGAGTGGTTGAAAGCATGCTATGACTCTAACTATTATGGTGGCAGACCCAGCAATTCCATTTTCATGTTTCAATGCTCGAAATCTCGTCTGGCCAGCTGCTTGACACACCATAACTACTTGTTCCCAACCCTTTTCACTCAATACAAACACCTCAATCTTCCAACAGAACAATCAAGAAACAAAAGGATTCCGAACAATCCCCTCTAGAAAATGATTGAAGATACGCTCAAATACGCAGACCGTCAAAAATCACTCCTCAGAAAATCAAAGACTGAATGCTAAAGATCAAAGTAATAGTAAGAGTGAATGCTAAAGAAGACAATTCCCACCAATATAAAGATGAAAGTGACTAAATTCTCAGCTAATGCTGAGAACGTAACAGGGTACGACAATGAAACGTGTAGATCCCATGGAAGATATTACTATGAAGACTTGATTTTTCAAGGTGAACAAAAGAAACAGTAATCTATAACAAAGAAGTGATTTCTGAAAAAGGGTATTTTACAGAATGACACGGCAATACAAGTTCAAGGAGATGACTTTCCGATAGACGTCAACAGATAAACTACACCACAGCATGCTGTTCTTTACTTTGCTCTATTCGCCACGGTTGTTGTTTGTTCTTTCTTGTGTTTCACCAATTCTAAGCTGCTGACAAAATTTCCACATACAACCATCAGCTTTAAATCCATAAACACCAAATGAAAACCAGTCTTTTAAAGATAAAGAGGAATCTTATAAAAGAAGATTGATTACTGAGAACATTAAGAAGGTGTGGGGTGTATTATTATGACTAAAATACACTTTTTCTTTTTTTACTTTTGCTGCTTAGATTCAAGCTCAAAATCTTGAGACCTAGTAAATTTTAACATAAGACAATACGATTTATTTGTCAAAGGTAAAACTACAGTGAATATTTTTCTGTTCCTCTAATTACCAAACACAAGCATTTCACAAAACAAGAAATTGCAGCTAAAAATCTCATAGCATAGTCAATCAGTATCCTTTTATATTTCAAAAAAATATACTCTTTGTACTAGTTTCCACAATCAGGGAAAGACACAAGATCTCAGTGAAGTTTTCATTTAACAATGCTAGAAAACAACCAAAAATCTGAACTTTACAACCCAAAAAACCAATATACCACAAAAAAAAGAACCCCGTTTTAATCAAAATGAGATACAGCAAATGAATTAAAAGAAAAGGCAAGAATCAACTCAAATTATATAAAAAATGAGGACAAAAAAGAATAGAGACTTACAACAATGAAATTGCTTATCCTTAGAAACCCAGAAAAGCAATAGGATTTAAATGAAGAAGATAGGGAGCTGAAAGTGTGTGTGTTTATGGAAGGGAGAGATAAGGAGAATACAGTCAAAGATGAGGGGAGTGCACGGAGGGTAAGACTATATAGAACCAAAAAAGGAAATCATCTTCATTTTTTGGTTGCGCAATGAATTAATTGGTTTTCGTACGTGCTAAGCGCACGTTTGGTTTTTGGTCTAAAATCATGGTGTGTGTATTTTGGTAATAAAGAAAAGAAAAAAGGTTAATACATAAAGTCATTTCTGAATTTATTCGAATATTTTAATTACACACTTAAATTTTGTGAATGAACTAATAATTCTTATAGTTGTGTTAAAGTGTGTTTAATTAGGGGTGGCAATTTGAGCTCAAACACACCCAATCCGCCCAACCAGTTCAGAGATTAATGGGTTGGGCTACAAATATATTAGCTCATGGTCAATTTGGATTGAGCCCAAGTTAATCCATTATTTTTTATAGCCCATTCTAACAACCCAAATACAACTCATGAAACTCACCAAAAACAAAGGGATCTCAACCCAACTAATCTAGACATTTACTTAGTTGTCCCAATTTTACTTTCTTTTTTTTTTGTATTTTCAATTTTCTGTTCTTTTGTTTTTCTGCACCATCCATCCACCCTACCCCCTACCCCCTCCCCGCAAACCTCCTAAAAGAATATTTTTTTTACATTTTTTTTATTTTTAATTTTCTGTTTTTTTATTTTTCTGCATTACACACCCAACCACAGTCGCGCATACCCCCTCAAAAACAAATTTTTTTACTTTCTTTTTTGTATTTTCAATTTCTGTTTCTTTTTGTTTTTGTTTTCACCACCAACGCACCCTCCTCGCGCAAACCCCCTCAAAAAAAATTACTTTTTTTTTTGTATTTTTAATTTATTTTTTTTTCTGTTTTTTTGTTTTTCTGCACCATCCATCCACCCCAAACCCCTTCATCCACCCCCACTTCCACTTCCACCCGTAAAATATTTTTCAACTTGCACATTTTAAGGTAAAAGACTTTTTTATGCAAGATGAGCATGTTTCTAAAATATGGATCAAGTTGGGCGGGTTGGGTTATGACCCATTGTTTAGCCCATCTTAGCTCAAGTATACTGTGGGCTGGGTTGGCAATGACCCGTTTATTGACCTAATCCATCTTGACTCGCCCAAAATTCAGCCCATCCCGCCCATTTGCCACCCCTATGTTTAATAGTACTGTTTTAAGTTACATCTAAATAAGGAATTTTATGCACGCGTAAAGAAAAGCAAAAAAACGAGCTGCCGAAAAATTAAGAAAGCAAAAGTTCTATAGTTGCTTGTGGATTGATTTGAAAGGATTTGAGATGCTTTGATTGTAAGGTTCGGAGGATTTTGGTATGTTGGCAAAAGCCCCAATTTTTCATTACTAATTTTCTAATTTTAAGGTAAAATGTGAAAATGAGGATAATAGCTTAGTAGAGGAGGAAAATGCGAGTACACTTTTTACGCCACGTAATGCATTAGTTGAAGCAGATCCAAAATTTAACATTGATAAATTTAATTGTTCAATAGTGACAAAGAACAAGCATGGATTTATGCCTGGTAGATCTACAATTGAGGCTTATTCTTGCTAGGAAGATTAATAAAAAAAATTCGCAAAGAAGAAAGATCTATACATGATATTTATTGACATAAAGAAAGCATATGATAGAGTACCACGAAAGATTCTTTAGTACGGGTGATGGAAAAGAAAGTTAAATATCATAAAGGACATGTACGTAATAGTTGTCACTAGTGTAAAAACATTAGTAGGAGAAACAAAGGAGTTTCTCGTAACAATTGGTTTACACCAGATTTATACTGAATCCCTACTTATTTACCCTAGTTATGGATGAGCTAACAAATGAAATAGAAGATGAGGTCTTAAAGTGTATGTTATTTGCTTATTGTGCTAATTGACGAAACTAGTGAGGGCGTCAACCAAAATCTTGAGCGATAGAGAAGCACCTTAGAGAGAAAGGGTTTTAAGATAAGTGAAAGTAAGAGTGAGTACATGCACTGTAAGTCTACTCGATACAAGAAGAGTAAAGTTGAGATGAAACTAGATGAAATAACAGTGCCAAAATATAAATAATTTAGACATGTGGGATCGTCATTTCAAGAGAATGAAATGATAGATGAAGATGTAGCTCAAATGATTAATACTGAGGGGTTGAAATGGAGAATTCCTACCGGGATGTTATGTGACAGAATGATGCCAATGAAGGGAGAAAGTAAGTTCTATAGAACAACTATAAAACCAGCTATGTTATATGGTAGTAATTGTTGGGCAGCTAAAATTCAATTTAATCACAAGAAGAATGTTGAAGAAATGCGAGTGTAAGATGGATATGCGATTATACAAGATTAAAAATGACCATATTTGTTAGAAGGTGCAAGTAGTACACATTGAGGAAAAAAATGAGAGAATGTCGCTTGAGATGGATTGGTCATGTCCTACATCGACCTACAAATACACCGGTCCGTAAGTGTAAAACTATGGTGGGAAAAGGTGTTATAAAGGGACGAGATAGACCTAATATCACATGTAAGGAAGTTGTCTCGGAAGACCTACAAATCCTTGGAATCAATGCAGATTTAGCTGAAGATAGGGCACAATGAAAGAGAGAAATCCATATAGGTGATATCTACTAGTTGAGCTACTAGTTGAGAATATATATATATATATATATATATATATATATACACACACAATTTTTTTCCTTACACTTTTATTTTATTTTGGTAGTAATGATGATATACGTTCAGCTTAATGTGAGGAATGAGAGTACATATCATCGACCATAAATTTTGGGACTGCGGCGTAGTTATTATTGATGTTATTGAGTTCTAAGTGTTCAACCTTGTAGTGTTTATTACAGAACTCATTGTATACATTTGAAATTAGAGGTTCACATATATATATATATATATATATATATATATATATATATATATATATACATATATATATATATATATATTGTGTGTGTATGTGTTTGAAGTCGAAAATATTGGGTTTAACAGAACCCATTAAATATATGTAAATCCTATATAGGATGGTGTTAGATATACTTTGGACAAGAACAATCAAATATTAGGATGCAAAAACTTAATAATTTATCATAGCTAAGTGATAAATTGAGATATAAATTTATTTTTAATCATGACTATATTGTAAAAATTTATACAGGATTGCACATATAATACAGTTATTATTTTTTGATATATACGGAGAGAGTTTGGAGTAAGTGTTAACTGTAAGAGATTGTGGGGTGGACCCGTGAGTGGTTGTATCATGATTTCTCCAATTCGTCTATGGGTTGGGTTTGTTGACCCGTGTGGTTGGTTTTCTTTGGTTTAGGTTTGTACTCCTTAATCATGAGAATGATTAACATATTTTGCTATAGCCACAGCAAATTTTTTAGAAATGACTATTGTTTAGTGGTTATTAATTTTCTATAGCTATCATATACATAATTACTTTCTGTAGCTACCTTTCAGTTGTTATGGTAATGTATTCGATGTATTCGAGCTACTGTATTCATGAACACAGTAGCAAAAATCAGCTAAAAAATAGGGCAATCTAGTTGTCAGCCGTTGTATTCACATGTATTCATACCATATATTCATGAATACAATGTAATAATAGGTCTCTCCAGTTGGTTAATGTGATGACCCAAAAGGTCATCTTATGATTTAAAATTAAATTCCACGGTCTGAGGCCTTCAAAACCTCATTTTATCCCTCCTCGATTTGTGTGCGCAGTTCGGGCGCATTTTCGGAAAGCTTTTATGTGGAAAATTGATGAAATAATAATTTTTGGCCTAAAAAGTTAATTTTTGTTGACTTCGGTCAACGTTTTGGGTAAACGGACTCAGACCCGTATTTTAACGATCCCGATGGGTCCGTAATAAAATATGGGACTTGGGCGTATGCCCAAATCGAATTCCGAGGTCTCTAGCTCGAGAAATGAATTTTTGATTAAAATTGAAGGACTGAAATTATAATGGTTTTGAGAATTTGGTTAATATTTGATCTTGTTGGTGTCGGGCCCGTATTTTAGTTTCGGAGCCTAGTACCAGTCCGTTATGATATTTACACCTTATCTGTGAAATTTGGTGAGAAACGGGACTGATTTGACGTGATTTGGACCTTTGGTTGACAAAATAAAAGTTTTAAAACTTTCTTGAAAATTTCATGCAATTTGGTGCTAAATTCGTAGTTTTAGGTGTTATTTTGGCGATTTGATCGCGCGAGCACGTTCGTATGATATTTTTAGACTTGTTTGCAAGTTTGGTTTAGAGCCCCGAGAGATCGGGTGAGTTTCGGATAGGCTTCGGGGTGTTTTAGACTTAGGAAAATGCTGGTTTTCTGCAGCTTCAGCAGTTGCTGGTTTCCTTCTTCGCGTTTGCGAAGCTTCTCACGCGAACGCGAAGTGTAATCTAGGTTGGGGATGGGTTTGTTCATCGCGAACGCGTAGCCATGGTCGCGAACACGAAGCGGGACGGGGGGGGGGGGGGGGGGGGGGGAGGGGGCAGCTCTTCGCGAACACGACCGGCATCACGCGAATGCGTAGAGTAAAATGGAGGTGGGCTGGGAATCATTGAGTTGTTCTACGCAAACGCGATCCTAGGCTCGCGAACGCGAAGGTCAGGGGGGACGGACCATCTCGAACGCGTGCAACTCTTCGCGAACGCGAAGGCTTTTCTGGCCGCTGTGCATAGCGATCACGACTGGTCACTCGCAAACGCGATGAAGACCTGGCCAATGTTATAAAACAGACTTAAAAAATGGGACTTCTTCCCAAAATTTCATATTTCATCACTAGAACTTGACCTAGGGTGATTTTGAAGAGGGAATTCAATACAAATCATAGATACGAGTGGTTCAGAGGTGCAAACTAGAGGAAAAGCGGTAATTGAGCAGTGAGTGGCTTGTGGATCGAGGTAAGTGTTGTGTCTAACTTTGACTCGAGGGATTAGGGATCCCTGACTTAATTACTATGTGAAAATCCATGTGTGTGGCGTATAGGTGAGGTGACGAGTACCTATGCGCCGACAATTTATCTGTTTTTAACCGTTCCCTTCCCGTTCTTAATATA